GGCGCCGCCCCGGCCCCGCCGCCGGCCCCCCATCCCCATCGCCCTCCTCGCCGCTGCCGTCCCCGCCGCCGCCGCTGTCGGTGTCGGACCAGAGGCGGTCGTCTCGCCGTTCGCGCCCCCTTACAAGCGTGGGGCTGCGCTGCCGCGCGCCGAGCGCGGGTGCGCCGCAACCCCCCGTGTCGCTCGGCCCAAACGCGTCCTCGCTGTCGCCTAAGCACGGCCTAGGGTGAGGGAATGCATTCGTATGTTCTTCAGCGCTCAGGGCGCGTGGCGTGAGGGGGCCAAGAGGGCGCCCGCACGCCGGCCCCGGCGCGCTGTGGTATGGCGGGGGTCCATCTATCAAGCGGACTGGCCCGGGCGGCGGGCGCGGCGGGGTTTGCGAGGCGGCGGCGAGGGGCGCGCTGGGGCCCGTTCTGGGGTGGGGTCCGGGAGTGCGCCTGCGCACCTGCCGCCGGCCGCCGCTATGAGCTCGGCCTGCTGCTGCAGCAGCTGCTGCTGCGCGTGCGCCTCGGGCCCGGCGCGGTTGCACTCGGGCCGCTGCACCCCAGGGATGACGCAGCCGGCCTTGCTTAGGACGAGGCCCCCCTCCTCAAACACGCCGCTGTCGGTCCTGCGCTTGCAGACGGGGGCGGCGCGGCTGAGGGCCGGGCCGGCGGCGCGCGCGGGAGCGTTGGCAGCAGCTGTGCGTTCTCACAGTTTGAAGGTGGCCGGCTTCGTCCCTGCAGGTATGCTAAGGGGCAGGGGTCTGGGCCTGCCCCGCATGGTATAGCGGCCTTCACAAACTCTGCAGCGCGTCTCGGTGCCCAGTTTGGCTGTATGGGCAGGGCGTCGCGTCTACTCTGGTGCGATCCTATCACGAACGGTCGCAGAGCTTGTCAGAGCAATCCATGAGAGTGGTACATTGCACATACAAATCATCGCAGCTTGAATTAATTCGATCCAGCAGTACCACGCTGGTGGCGCACCCAGTGCCGACGGTACGGTGGCTTTGTTGGTAGGCGTGCCCGGAGCTCCTACTACGGTACACTACCGCTTCGAACAGCAGCTGTTTGTGCGACATCATCAAACGATCTCGCGTTTGCAGCGTCACAAGATCACACAGTTCATAAGCGGCTTGCTCGCGTCTTTTTCGCAGCCCTCCTCCTGCATCTGAGGAAGTTGGATTGTAGATCGCTTTTCACCAGCACACGATGGCCGATGAGGAGGTAGCCGCCGTGGGCCAGCAGCTAGGCGAGTTGGCCGTGGAGGAGGAGGAGCTCACGCTGGACCTCGGAAAGAAGAAGAAGAAGAAATCCAAGAAGGTGACGATCCGCCTACGAGAGCCCCGTGCGTGCATGCACCCACTGCTGCGGCGCTGCGAGCGCGCCCGCGCATGCGCCGACTGCGGCGCCGATCGCCTGCACTGGTCCCGCATGCGCGGCAGCCCACCCTTCGTCCTGCCCCATTTTTGGCGGCATTGGCCGCATCGACAGGTGGACGAGGCGGCAGCGGGCGGCGAGGGGGAGGAGGGCGCGGGGCCGGCGCCTGCAGAGGAGGATGAGGACATGGATCTGTCCCTCGACCTCTCAAAAAAGAAGAAAAAGAAGAAGAAGGTTCGCAGGACGGGGCCGGAGAGGGGACAAGGGGGTGAGGGGTTGAGGGCAAGCTGGCAGACCCAGCATATGCGATCGGCGGCAGATCGCCTCGTGATCTCGGCGTCTGGGTCGCTCGCCGCTGAGGCGGCGGGTGGGGTGATGGCCGAGGCGGCTCCACCCCCATGCAGGGCTAGGCTGTGGGAGGGGGAGGGTCGAGATGCGGCAGGGGCGGGGTGGCAGTTCAAAGAGCAGAGCGGCAAGTGGACGGCGGGAGCAGCGCGCCGCAGCACCCGCTCCAACTAGGACTGCTGCACCCCCAACCGTGGCGCAAACAGTTTCCTTAGAGAGCTAGATCACCCGGCCCCCATCGTACTGAGCACGGCCACCCAGTGCCGGGCGCAGTTGGTTAGGCGGCCGACAGCCTCACACCGGCGGGCCCGCCCACAGCACGCCCCGCAACACTCCCCAGCCCCTGCGGCGGCCCCTGCGCGGCCCCTGCCGCCTAATCGTCCCCGCCCCCGTCTGCTGCCCGCGGGCGCCTCCCCCAATCCCGCGGCGACCGACCGACTCGGGTGCCCCACACTTTCTCATTGCAGTTCATCCTCGTCTCATCCCCTGTCACAATCCTCTCATGCTGTCCTGACCCGTCCCATTCGACGCTTGTTCAACCCTACCCTACCCTACCCTACCCTACCCCGTCGTACTCATCCTATCCTGTCCAATCCTATCCTATCCAACCCGCCCCCAGGCCCGCGCTGACGAGTTCGCCGGGGAGGAGGGCGACCCCGAGGCTGAGGCGGAGGCGGCGGCGGCGGAGGCGCGCGCGAGCGCGGCGGGCAGCTTCCCCTGGAGCGGCAGCGACCGCGACTACGTGTACGACGAGCTGCTGGGTGGGTGCGGCGGTTT